GGCATGAGCACTGTCAGAAACCAAGCATGGGAAGTGGGGCGGAGGGAGAAGCTTGTTTTTTCAAAGCCAGTCTACTCATTGGGCTGCTTTCCAAGGCCCAGGTCAAAGTACAAAGGCTGAAGAGATTGACCTACTTATGTAGTTTGGGAGCCTTGCTACAACGAGCCTGAATGTGCTTGTCTGGATTCTATTTTCCCTCTACAAATTGTTCAGATATTTTGTTGTTGTTTTTCTTTCCTTTCTTTTTTTTTCACTTTCATATTTCTCTTAATTCTTGTAGTTTCTCTAGATTTTATTTTGGGACATAGTAGTATCAGCAAGCTATCTGTGTCCCCACAGCAGCTGCTTAATTTGTCATAAAGCCACCACACCTACTTTTCCTAGCATAGTTCTGTTGTAATTGGCTTTGGTATTGGGCATGTGACTGCATTATAAGGCATCTGTGTTAGCTAATGGAGTCATCATTTTTTAAAGCCATGTAATTCAATGCTTTTCAGAACCCATCAGGGATTTGGATTTGTAGACTTTTACTAACTGATCTGTTTTCTTCTTCAGTATTCTAAAAGATATGTAAAGGACTTCTAAAATGCAGCATTTCTTCCCTTCCCCACCCCACCTCCACCAAAAAGAAAAAAAATCTACTCTCCCTACGTCTCTGTGCAGAATACCTTATAATTTCTCGAGTGCCTTCACAAAAATTCTGAAGAGACTAGATATTATTTAACTTCAGAGATTTTATAGAAGCATGTCTAAAATACCAGACTCAGTGCTTCTTTCTATGCTTTCTAGACATTATCACCTGGAAAAAAAAGAGTGAGTTACCTGGGCAGAGATTGTTATTGTTAATAGAGACATTTCCTTCATTCCACTATCTGATTATCTGATTCTGAATATGCCTGTATATTATGAACAGGGATTGCTCTGCCCTTAATGGAACACTGCAGTGTGGCTTTAGCTGCCCACCAAGAGGGCAAGACATCAGATTCAGGTGGAGCCTGTGGTAGTTACTCCAGACAACGTAAATGCAGGAAAAGAAAAGAAAGAAGAGAATAAAGAGAAAGCCATGGGGAAGGGAAAGGGAAAAAAAGAAGCTTCATGAGCTGCTATGAGATGGAAAGACAAGTTGTAGGCTGAGTGGAGAGATTAAAGATGAAGAGCATTGAATGATTTGTCCCTGACCCCAAGAGTCTTGGTGGAATCCAGATGATGTTGGCACCAAGCCAAGAGATTTTCTTAGAACACATCCTTTCCCACCCGAGGTGTTAGGAATCTCTGTGATGGCCATTGAGAGCTGGCCAAAGGAAGGAGGCTGGGGTCACAATTAAATTTCCCCACTTCCTTGTCAATTTCCCCAAGGTGATTTTTATCTCATTCATTCAATACCTAGGAGATATAAGGCATATTACCCATTGGATATTGGGATGTGAAGCAGGTAGAGAATGATTCTATTACTTGGTTTATATTCGATACATAAACTTGGTAATGTTTATATTGTTTTGTGTCAATTAAGTGTTTTTGATCCTGGCTAGTTTACAGAGACTGTTGTGTTAGAGAGCCATGATTGGTGTCATAAATTGCCCTCCTCCCACCAAAGCAAACAACAACAACAAAAAAAGCCACACTGAACCTGGAAGAAATACCAAGGACTTCAAAGACAGAATTCTTAGCAACTTCAGGAGCACAATGGTTACACTTCTATTGTTTTTCCTTGCCAGTTCTTCTTACACCCTAAATTTACCTTGAATTTGATGGGAAAATAGGAAGCTAAGCCAGAAAGCTTCACAGAACACATTTAAATTCAGCTAAAACCTGAGCATTTCTATGTGTTAAGCTGGATCTTCTGAATATTACACATACAATAATACTCACTAACACTCATACAGCATTTTGAGGTTTGCCAAGTGATTTACAAATATTTTATACTCACAACTCCTCTGGGAAGTAGGTTTTATTATTCTCTCCGTTTTACAGATGAGGAAACTGAGGCAAACAGAAGATAAGTAACTTGCCCAGGATCACATAGCTAATAAGTGTCTGGGGTTAAATTTGAACTTAGGTCTTCCTGACTCTGAGTCCAGCGCCATACCACCCAGCAACTTCATGTCAATCAATCATCCAGCACTTCTTAAATGTCTACTGTGTGCCTGACACTGTGCTAGGTGCTAAGTAAACAGACATTATAGCTAAAATAGCACTTGCCCTCAGAGAGTTTAAGTCATGTGTATTTGTGGAATTTCACTATTTTAAGACCTCCATTTGTTGATGATTCTGTCTCGTCATTTCAGTTATACTCTACGTGAATCAACCAATCAATGCCCAAAGGCCTTGTGCTACGAGTTGAGACAAAAGCCATATAAAAACCTGTCAGTGTAGCCAGTTGATAGAAAACTGCAGAGGGCAGCAGTGGAGAGAAGCTATAGTGGTTGTTTCAACCTTATCTCGATAACATCGAATTAATTATTCTGCTAAGTGATGCTGAAGAATTAACATGGGGCCTAGATGTGATGTCTGTGTTATTCTGATGAATCTTTCATCACTGTATAATCACTTGTTAACTGAGATCAAAATTAAAAACAAACCCACTAGAAAATGAATACAACAAAAATAAATACATTGTCCTTTCTAGAAAAGAAAAAATTTTATTTGAAATGCTCATTGTCTCAGGTTTTCATTTCATTTCCCTAATTGGAAAAAGCCCTTCATATGATTAGAATAATGCAAAGCCTTGTTATTATTTCAACAACACTATGCACATAAGGGCTAAGTTAACTATTCCTCTTTGTAATATATACCATGGTAAAACTAAGTAGTCGTGACATTTTCTCTCCTTTTCCATCTTCTTAATTCACAAATATCATTGTCTTTTTTCAGTTCTCCTTGATTTCTCTGTAAAAAATCTAAAATGACCCTCCCCCACTACCAATTATCCCCCGCCTTCTTGAAATTCTCTCCTTCCTTGGCTTCCCTGACCCTCATTCCCTTCCTAGTCAGGAGCTGCACATTCTCTCTCATCCCCTGGTCTTTCTCCATAGTTTTGACCCTTAAATATGAGCTAGAAGCTAAGGTGTAATGCGGAGGTGTCAAATATATACAGAAGGCCACAGGTGGCTGAACCAGATTAAGATGCAATTGGGAAATATTTAACAAAATAAATGAAAATACAAATAAAACATAGATAATATTAATATGTGGTTTTCTGAGCCAATATCACTACACATTTATAATCGATATCAAATCACTTGCTTTCTCAGTGGGGGTGGGGAGGTGAAAGAAGGTGCAAAAGCATTTGGAACTCACAATTTCAAACAATGCAAAAAATGTTTTTACATAAAATTGGAAAAAATAAAATATTAAAAAATTCGAACTATAACTTCCTTGATCTTCAATCTCACTTCTCTAAGCACCCACTGGAAACTCTCATCTCTATGGTCTACACATCACACCAAATTCAACTCTCAGACAAAACTAAAGTCATCCTATTTCTCAAAATCAGTTCCCTCTAGGTTTTCCTAATTCTTTCAACTTGAAACTTGGAGTCATCAGTGCCTCTTCCCTCTTCTCTTCCCCCACATCCAGGTGGTAAGCAAGTCCTGCTGAGGTTTCTCTATTTATGCCTCTTGTAGCTGTCTCTGCCTTCTATTGTCTTGGCTACAATCCCAGTCCATGCCCCACTAATCACTACATACCTGGACTTTGGTAATAGTCTCTTTTCTCTCACCAGAAATTTCCTATACTGATGATATCACAAATCTAGACAACAATATTAATACACGTACATATATACATCATACATGTACACAGATACTATATGTACATATACATATATGCACATATATGTATATGTATGAAAGATAGATATAGATATGAAAGAAAATGTGGGAGAGAAGAGGTATCAGGCTGCATACCAAACTGAAGGTTTACAGAGTCATACTGACCTCATTGCTGGAGCCTGTGAAACCTGGTCAGGCTATCAGTGCCATGCCAAGAAATTAAATCGCTTCCACTTGAATTGTCTTTTTTTGTTTTTTATTTTTGGGGGATGAGGCAATCAGGGTTAAATGACTTGCCCAAGGTCACACAGCTAATAAGTGTTATGTGTCTGAGGCCGAATTTGAACTCAGGTGCTCCTTACTCCAAAGTCGGTGTTCTATCCACTGTGCCACCCAGCTGCCCTCACTTGAATTGTCTTAAGAAGATTCAAACACCTACAAGATAAGGTACAGGACACTGACGTCCTCTCTCAAACTGAGCTGCCAAGCATTTAAACTCTACTGCAGAGAGTGCAACTCTGATGGGCTGGCCATGTAGTCTGAATGCCAAACGCACACTTATCCAAAGACTATTTTTACAGAGAACTCATACAAGGCAGGTGCTCACATGGTGGTCAGAAGTGTTATGAGGAGGGGGCAGCCAAGTGGCGTAGTAGATAGAGCACCAGCCCTAGAGTCGGAAGAACCTGAGTTCAAATTTGGCCTCAGACATTTGACATTAGCTGTGTGACCCTCAATAACCCCAAATGCTTCACAAAAAATAAAAAAATAATAAATTGTACAAGGACACTTTCAAGGTCTCTCTGAAAAACTATAGCATTGCTTTCAAGGAACTCCCAGTCAAATAGGGAGCAAGCATGGCGAAGAACTTAGTGCAAACAAGATATATAGACACACAAACAACAGAGAGAAAGCACTAACCCTAAAAGAATTGAGAAAGGTTTCCTGTAGAAGGTGAGATTCTAGATGGGATGTGAAGAAAGCCAGGGAAAGCAGAAGGTGGTGATGAAGAAAGAGAGAATTCCAGTTCTGGAGGCAGCTAGTAAAAAATGCACAGACTAGAGACAAGCAATGTCTTGTTCAAGAAGCAAGGAGGCCAGTGTTGTTGAATTACAGAGTACATAGAGGGGAATAAGATGTAAGAAGACTGGAAAGGTAGGAGAAAACAGGATATGCAGGGCTTTGCATACCAAGCAGAAGTCTTACAGGATTTGTTATCTTATCTCTCACCTGGTATGTAGCACCTGCTACTTCTTTTCTTTCTGATACCTGCATGCCTTGTCTTCCAATCAGATTGTAAATTCCGTATCAGCAGAGACATATACTTAATCTTTCCACACTCAGGGGCTTCTGCCCTATTTGCTGCTAAGGTCTAGTATGAATAGTAGGTGTTTGAGAAACACTTGTCACTGACAAAGACAAGAATTTCAACATCTTTTCATCTTTGCTATTTTTTAATTACACATGCAAACCATTTACTGTCTCACATCGCATCTTGCCATCTGCTCTGTCAATTGTCCAATTCTCCCTCTCTGGAACAGAGCAGATTTCTAAGACTACAGCATGGTCATCCACTCGACTTTGCTGCTGCCCTAGAGTTGATCTATCCTGATTGATGAATGAGTTTAAGTTTACTCGACTGACTGTCTAGCTGATCCTGGAGCATGCATCACATCCCATCTTGCCACCCACCAGGAGGAAACCAGGACTTACCAGGCATCTTGCCAACTGCCACGCCACTTTCTTGGACTCCTTCCTTCTCCCAACACACGTATCCATTTCTCCACTTCCTTCTCTTGCACTGGAAATAGTCACTGAAACAATACTACCATCATTACCAGAAAGGGTGGTGGTAGACTGCCCTATGACTTCACTCGCCATCCAGGTAACTACCCAGACCACATCTCTCTTCCCTTGCTATCATTCTCCTATATGTATCTCATCCCTCTATTAGAATGTAAACTCTTTGAAGAGAAGTCTGGCTAAGTTTTCAGTTTGTACACTCTAAGGCCCAGCACAGTGACTGACACATAGGAGAGACTTAATGACTGGTTTGTTAATTGTTCATTCACATAAAATAAGTTAGTACAGCTCCCTTCTCTAATTATGAGTAAACATTAGTTTTCCAGATTTTCCAAGGTTTTGATCAATTCTTCAGTATTTTGAAAGTTCCCTTTTCATCAATATGGCTGTACCCTTTACTAATGCAGATCACAAACCTTTCCATGCCCTACTAGATAGCCTTCAAGAATGAATGTGGTCAGAAGGTACAAAATATTTGGGAGTATATATGCCAAGACATACCAAGAAACTGTATAAATCCAAGCATAAAATATTCTTTATGGAAATAAATACAGACCTAAATAATTTGAGAAATAGCAATTTCTCATGGGTAGGTAAATCCAACATGCTAAAAATAACACTTCATAAATTTATTTACTTATTCAATGCTATACCAATCAAACTACTAAAGGATTATTTTATAGAGCTAGAAAAAATAACAAAAATCCTAGAGAGAAATAAAATGTTAATAATCGTAAGGGTAATAACGAAAAAAATGGGAAGGAAGGTATCTATCAGTATTGAATCTTAAACTACATTATAAAGCAGTAACCATTCAAAAAATTTTTGATTTAAAAAAGAGGTTGCTCAATGGAACAAATTAATTACACAACATAAAAAAGCAAATGAAAAAATAGCATAGTGTTTGATAAATCCAAAGACCTCAGCTACTAATGTAAGGACTCACTATTCGGCAAAAACTGCCTGGAAAACTGGAAAGCAGTTTGGCAGAAATGAGGTATTTATCAAATATTAAAATGTTGTTGTTATTTGTCCTTTGTTTTCAAAGAGGACAAGTGACACCATAGGATGATGTCTTGGCTCCTATGTGAATTGGATTTAAGTAAGGCAGAGTTGCACAAAGTCATTAGGCTCACTCACAGAGTCGTGAAAGTCCAGTGGCGAGACAAAAGTCAAGGTGACTGGAGATGGCCCAAGATACAGGGGATGACCTTGGCATCTTCAATGTCTGACCAATCTTGAAACACCTGCTTCAGTTGCCTTCATAGCCTTTGGAATGAGTTTTTCTCATCCAACTATTGCACTGGGGGAAATCTTCATGTTTGATGTAGACACCACCTTAACTCAATGAGAGGTTTGTGGCACATTTGTTACCCATTTGCCAAGATGGTTTTACCAGGGGTAACCACCACGTGTGCTAAAGGTTCTCGGAGCCACAGGTTAAAGCTGAGCACCAGGTGGTCACTAAAGATGGATGAGCAGTGCTGAAAAGCTGGCTTAGACATAAAAGGTTACATCATAAGCACATTAGAAACACAAGGAAGAAACTATCTTTTATGATTATGCCTAAACTTGTTTATAACTCAACAAATGATGAAGATCACAGGAGATAAAAGATACAACTTTGGTTGTGTAGAATTTAAAAGTTTTGCACAAATAAATCCAACACAGCTAACATTAGAAAGGAAAAAAGTAGCTAGGAAAAAATCTTTGCAGCAAGTTTCACTGATGAAGGCTTCATATCCAAAATGTGAAAGGGACTGAATGAAATTTATAAGACTGAGCTATTTCTCAGTAGCTAAATGGTCAAAGGGGATGAACAGGACACTTTCAAAGGAAGAAAGTCAAGCTAACAAGCACTATGTGAAAAAATGCTGTAAATCACTAATAATTAATGAAATACAAATTAAATCATCTCTGAGGTTTTACCTCTCATGCATTAGATGACAAAAATGATGGCAAAGATGACGAAAGAGGAAAGTAATGAATGTCGGAAGGACTCTGAAAAACAGGCATTGTTGATGGAGTTATGAACTGGCCTCACCAGTCTGAAAAAGCATTTTGGAACTATGCCCCCAAAGCTACTCTTTGATGCAGCAATACCACTACTAAGTCTATATACCAAAGAAATCAAAGAAAGAGGAAAAGGGCCTATACGTGCAAAACTAAGTATAACAATTGTGGGAATTGAGTGAACCATGCTGACTCTATCTCGTGATTCAATTCTGGATCTAACTCAGTTCCCTTTCTATTAAATTATGGGTCTAGTCCAATTTCTGTCTTGTGAGAAAACTTGATTCAATCATGAGAATTGTGAGAAAACTTTATTGCATTGTTTGAACCTAGTCCTGCATGGCTGGGGAAGCTGGACCACCTCTACTTGCTGCTTAGAGACCCTTAACTAAGGTTATGTTGACCAGAAACCCAGTCAGATCTACAGACTGAAGCAAGAGTTTTCTCACAATTTTACATCTCATATGTAATATTTGAAAGCTGGTCAATCAGTTATTATTTACGTGTTCCTTTGATTGTTTACAGACACTAGGGGGACTGGGGTGGGCAGAATACCTCTTTTTCTGATTTTAGGGAATTGCACCTGTTCACTCTCCCTCCCAACTTGGAAAGTCCCTAATCTTTGCTCCAATTAGAAATAAGATTTTGTAATAGTGCTTAATAGCTTGACTTTCTTCTTTTGAAAATGTCCTGTTCAGGGGCAGCTAGATGGTGCAGTGAATAGAGCACCAGCCCTGGACTCAGGAGGACCTGAGTTTAAATCTGACCTCAGACCAAACACTTGACACTTACTAGCTGTGTGACCCTGAGCAAGTCACTTAACCCCAATGGCCTAAAAATAAATAAATAAATAAAAGAATAGATATGGCCAAAAAATCAACACCTTGAGGTCAACCTTCTAAACAACTCATTCCAAACTTTGTTACTTGGGCCCTTGGGCAATAGATACTGGACCCACACTCAGAGCTTCATAGGACCTGTCAAAGCTTGTCATTCTCTAACATAGACTTTTTGAACCTAGGATTACCCTCATGCCAGGATACATCCTCAGAAAAGGACTTCAATGGGAAAAAAAGTTTTGATTATTCTAATATAAATAATTTTACATAAGTCGGTATTTTCAACTGTAAGTTATCATAAGTACTTGCATCCCACAGCAGAAGGTAACATGCCCATTTTGTATGGCACCTAGGTTTGCAATCAGAGAACTTAGGTTCAAATCTCAAGTCTCTTAATTACTATGCATGTAACCCTCAGCAAGCCACTTAACTTTCAGGTTCCTAATCTCTTAAGTGAAAGGGTTGGGCTGTGAAGACCTCTACGTTTCCTTCTATATCTAAATCTACCATTCTACACTGTTGTTTTTCATCACATCCAGCTCTTCATGACCTCATGAACTTGTCTATAGTATTCTCCTGGCAAAAATACTGGAATGGTTTGCCATTTCCTCCTCCAGTGTGTCTTCATTTTTATAGATGAGGAACTGAGGCAAATACGGGGTAAGGGACTTCCCCGGGGTCACACAGATAGTGAGGGTCTGAGGCTGGATCTGAACTCAGACCTTCTTGACTCTAGGCCCCATCTTCTATCCACTGCACCACTTAACTACCTTACGATTAGCCTCTGTGGTTGTTTTTTGTTGTTCGGTCATTGCAGTCATGTCTGATGCTTCATGATCTCATTTGGGGTTTTCTTGGTAAGATTATCCTATGATCCATCTTTAAATCTACAATCTATGATTTTTTTTTTGCTATTATACAGCATGTCCCAAAAGTCTTAGTGCATTTTTACACTATTAAAGTTTTCAAGTTATTCCCCTGAGGTAGGGAGAATGCTGCAGGGGTTTTTTGTTCCCACCTTACAAGAGTGGAAACTGAGGCACGGGGCAGTCAGCTGGCAACCCCATGATCATTTAATTGTAAACCGAAGCTCTAGGCTCAGGTGAAAATCTCCTGCTGTCCCAACCACTGCTGTTTTCCAACGATTCTCCATCTTGTAGTTTCACAGAATATGAAGCCCATGATCTAATGTATCATAGCTGAGCTTCATCCCTAAACATGATGGGAATTTGTAGCGGCGGGGTCCAAGAAATAGAGATATTAAGCGACTAAATGAAGCAATTGATATTTCTGACTCCCAGTTCAAAAGAACACAAGAAGTTTATTTACAACAATACATTGATTTGGAAAATAAATTAAAAAGCAAAGTCAAACTCAGTTGTAAATAGCATTGTCTAATCCATACCAGATATTACCATATCCCTATAGGGCATAACAGTTTACAACCATCAGCCTTTTCTATTTCCTCAAAATTGTTTTGGGGGCATGCTTACTCCCCGCTTTATCAGTACTAAGCAGGAGCTCAGCAGCAAAAGAAGGCAGCAGGTCAGAGATAGCACATTATGTTTTCTTAAAGCTTTTGTAACTAAGATGTTAAGGATGTATTGTTCAGTTCTCTAGCAGAACTTTGGACTCACCAGAGGAACAGTAATGTTAAAAAAAAAAGTGTGTATGTGTGTGTATGCAAGGTATTATTACAATTATATATTTTACTTATACTTTCCCTTAACTCTGGAATGTTATAAAGGCAACATTTTTTTTAAAAAAAATCATCCATTTAAATGTACCTTGGCTAAAATTTAATGAACTTTACTCTTCTTGCAGACAGCCATAATATTTATTCCATTTAAAAAATTTTGCATGCAATAATTTTAGGTCATAAAGAAAAGCATTAAATAGATGGGATTAAGACAGATTTTTTTCCACGTATATATTTATAAGTTATTGCAGGTTAGTAATTAGTATGTCA